TCTAGAATGTCGAATAATCTAATTGATGAGTCTTGCAAGAAATTGCGCGGCAAATCATGCAATAAAATGGAATATTTTGGTCAATTAATCGTGACGCGACGGACGACGCGACGCGTGACGCGCTCAGTGGGAACGCAGCCTTATTCATTTCGCGCATGTGCACTCCGTTTTGGCCAACACAAAATCAGGAGAGTTGCTCTACTGTATGTATACTGTGCCGTATGGTTTTATAGAAGTGTCTGATCTGGTCTGATCTTTATACTTAAAACGAAATAGATATATGTTTGAAATTTGATGAGAAGGAAAGTTCTAGTGCAGCAATAAAAAAGAAATCTTTTGTTGATAAGTGTCGCTGTTATAGACAGTATGAAAAAATAACATCAAATCGAAGTTTGATAACGTGTTTTCGACATTGCCGCACAAATTGGTGTGGAAAATATCAATGCTCAGAAAAGATCTAGCTTATTCTCGAGACGAGGTCATCCAGAAGAGATAGAAAGACAATGTTTGATTGTACAGAGACCTTCATTATTTACATTTCGTTAAGGAAATCAAGATCTCGCGCGCTTTAAATTGCGATTCACAATCGTAGCATCTTGTTTCCGAAGACACGGATAAGCAAGAGAAGAGGAAGACGAATTCGCGCGATTTCCATTTTATCTTTAACGAGGATGTCCGACAGCATGGAACGAGAGAAAAATGAGAGGTTAAGCGCAAGGGAAATTGAGGAGGAGAAAATGAAACGCGAGCTGACGGGTAATCAAATGTGTTTATAGTGAGGCTAATTGAAATATTACAATGAACACGATTGTGCATAAAAGGAATTTCAGGATGTTCTGATCTTTTGCAAAATATGAATACTTATAATGTATTAAATCTGTTTTAGACGATCTGGAATTTGTATCAAATTTTACAATGTATATAATTTTTATTTCTAATTTTTTAAATATTATGTTTTGTGTTTATACTTTCTTATATGTTGTATCTCGATGTATTTATTTTAAATACATCGAAATGTCATTAGACAAGATGTCCTGTAACTAGTTGCACAACTATGATTGTATAAGCAGGATTTTTTGAAAAATAAATATGAAATGTAGAATATAATTTTTTCAGTTGAGGCTTTATTTTTAAGAAAATGAACTTTGAAATTTAAAAAATCAACGTACTTACAGATTTTTAACATTGAATAAATTTTAATTACTATGTGTTTTACAAACTTAATCCCCAAATAGTTTCAAATTTTAACAGGTTATATTAATCATTGTTAGGAAAAATTACAGTATTATCTGCGCCAGTACTTTAAGTAATAAAGTTGTATCTTTTCAGTTGCATTATTGGTTACAAGGATATTTTATATATTTCTGTAATTGTTATTATTGTATTATTTATATAAAATCAAAAATAGAATATGAGCTTGAATTCGAACATAAATTATAGATAATAGGCAAATAACACGATATGATAGCACTAGTTAAAAATAAATAATTACATGTTAGAATACATTTCATTTTTAGTCAAATATAATTCTAAAACCTTATTAAGAAGAGAAAAATTTATTTGTTAAAAACAATTGACATTTTGTTTCTTAGGTATTGGGATATATGAGCCAGGGATTACATACAAACAAATGAAAAGATTACTCGAATTTGTCAATGAGTCTCAAGATACATCAAACATTGTTTCCAATAATAAAAATACACAGGAGGTATGGGATAATAATAATAATTATATACATTATATGCATGCAACTTTAAAGTTGCTCATATCTTAAATTACATTAAATATGAAAAATTTCATATAATAGTAATGACAAAAATTAGAAAAGAAATGAATAGTAAATTTACTATCTGAAACTTTTTAGACAACCCAACATTCCGATAACGAGTGCCTATCAGATATTAAATCTGACGTAGTGCAGCAAGAAGTGACTTTGCAGGAGTGTACAGAAATGCCAAGACCATCATATTCTTACAAACTAAATCGTACGTCTCCGACTATGCAAGAACGTAAGACCATTCAATATATCAACAATCCGGAATCTTCGCCCCTTTTCGAAGCGCGGAACCCTATGTATAGGCGTAAGAGCACTGACAGCGACGATCTATTCGAGAAACAATACGATATCACCAATTCCACGCACAGTACAAATCGATATCTCTCATTGAGATTGGAAAACGTTTCGCGAGAGTGCCAAAACACGGTGGAAAGAAAAATGGCGCAAGACGCGCAGAGTGCAGTTATCCAGAAGCTGGAAAGATGGCGATTGAATCCGTTCGATGTTTGCATCAACGAAAGCGACGTGCCTTTGCGACAACCAAATCGATCTTTGGCTCGGGAACGTGTGCCGTTTGACCATTGCAAAGAGGCGTACATGTCCGATCAGTGCGACCAAATAATACGGTCCGTGAGCCAGCATTTGAAGGAAATGGCAGACTTGTGGTACAGTTGGCGCCCCATTATCAATCCGATATTTCAATGGGGGTCACCCATTCAGGTGGGTACCTCCCTACAATCCCTCCCATATCGTTCGTATCGCTAACGAGCGTAAAATACTCTGCTTTTTGAAGAATGAAAGAATTATCTAGTAAGCGTTTTTCTAACACGGTCGTCATTATACAATTCGGTATTGCCGAATAATTTATATGCAACAATTCTTTTAGGCATAAGATTTTATATTTGCTTAGGCATATATTATGAAAAGAATATTCACTTTCTATGTCGTTTTGATATATTTAAACAATCTTCAAAATAGGAGGATTTACACAAGGCCCAATTTTGGCTCTCTTTGTATTTCACTTTTTATTACTTTACAGAAACTATATTATTACAAAAAATATTAAATCTTTAGTGGTTTTAACAAATGATTGCATTTATGATGAATTATTTATTCATTAAAAATTGTATTTATTGGTTTTATATGCCATATAATTGCCATTTATTGGTTTTCACGCCATCGTTTGCAAAAAAAAACGTTTTAAATATTTAAATATTTTGTATGTATCTACTAGAATATATCAGAATATTTTACAGTAAAATTTATATCTGAAAAATTATGTGATATATAAGGGTCCTTCAAAAATATGGAAACGATCAAATAACTCGCCAGGGATGCATTTTAGAAAGAAAATGTTACAATGGTTGTTGGATTTAAAAAAACCTACTTAATGATTAAAGCCCATTCGGGCCCAAACTTGGAGCTTATGAAAACCAAGTAGATTTTTTTAAATGGTAATACCAGTTTTTTATGACTGATTCGTGTTCCTGGTGATTTTTCCTTTCCAAATATGTAGCTTAATCAATTATCAGGCCTCAAATTTGGGGCTTACTAGATCTAGATCCAAAGGCAGAAGGCGGTCGAATAACTCGTGAGTAATGCATTTTAGAAAGAAAATGGCCTTAATCATTATTAGAGTTTTTGAAACCCGACTTCTTCTGTAACATTTTCTTTCTAAAATGCATTCCTGAGTTATTTGACTGTTTCCTGTTTATTTTTAAAAGATCCTGTATATATATATATATATAT